GTTGATACCTAGAAAGCAGACGAATTCTTCACATCTTTTCACCCTTCCCCTCCCCCTTCAGTCTCTCCACAATGGTCTCTCAGACAGAGAAGTGGGACCACAAGACCACAGCAGGCGTCCCAGCCAGCTCACAACAGCCCTACCCAGCACACCAACCCTCAGGGCTCAGCCTGCCATCTTTCTCTTTTTTTTTTTTTTGAGTCAGTCTCACTCTGTCATCTAGGCTGAAGTGCAGTGGCATGCTCATGGCTATTGTAACCTTGACCTCCTGGGCTCAGGTGATCCTCCCACCCCAGCCTTCCAAGTAGCTGGAACTACAGGGCCTCATCACCATGCCCAGCTAATTTTTTTATTTTGTGGAGAGATGAAGGCTTGCCAAGTTTTCCAGGCTGGTCTCAAACTCCTGGGCTCAGACAATCCTCTTGCCTCAGTCTCCCAAAGTGCTGGGATTGCAGGCATAAGCCACCAAGCTTAGCGCTCTACTGTTTTTTCAGAGTACCCACTTAATTTCATGGAGCCTCTTTCCTGCCAGTGAGCAAGTGAGGCACCCTTATTCATAAAATCATGCCTCAATGCTTCTCGAAATTGAGCATTCGTTCATTCATCAATGCTGAGCGTCTATTCTGTCTGGCAGTGGGCTCAGCACCTGAGATAAACAGAACAATCCAGGCTAGCTCCCTGCCCTCAAGCCCTGGGTAGTGATTTCCCAGGAGTGATCTCCCTGCTTTACACCGGCTTCACAGCTCCCAGCTTGCCAGCCCTGACCTCGAACATCTGGGCACTGTACCTCTGGCCTTTCCACAGCAATCCCAGGGTTATTATGCTTTAAATACCCTCAGGACATAACTAGTTTCTCTCCTTTGTGTCTATTTCAGGCTGATGTCTCCCTTCTTCCATCCCTTCTTTCCCCACCAGGCACCTCTTTCCTGGGTGGCCTAACTTCTTGGGATCACCCCATCCTGCCAATATGTGTTTCCTTTGTGATTTGGATGAAGAGGACAGGGTCACATCCAGCTTTCCTGAGCTGTGAGTTCCTGGTGTGTATCTGTGGTCTGCCTGATGTTGAGTGTGACCCCCCCACCTCTTCTGCTGCGGGTCATGGATGCACTCACGACAGCAGGTGTGGCAGCAGGTGTCCTGGCTGTCAGGGCTCATGGGGACTGCTGGCTAGAAGCAAGTGGAAAAAGCCATAAATCCAAGGAATTGTCCTGACACCAACCAGTTCCAATTAAGGAATCCTGCCTAGCCAAGGGGAGTAGGGTTTGGTTTGTTGATTTCACTTTGTTTTGTGGTCATGAACGATTATTTCAATGGAGCTAATAAAAGCATAGGAAGATTTATTTGGGTAAAATGTAGCTCTGGATGAATTCTATTAAAGACCCAACTGGGCTCTGCTGTGGACTGAATGTTTGTGACCCCTCTCACCCCAAATTCGCGTGTTCAAGTCCTCACTCGCCCGTATGATGGTGTTTGGAGGTTGGGTCATGGGAAGTAATTGTGTTTGGATGAGGTGTGAGCACAAGGCCCCTATGATGGGGTGAGTGTCCTGCAGGAAGAGAGACCAGAGCTGAATGAAGACACAATTATCTGTCCTGTCAGTGTTGTGGCCACGCCTTGCCTGAAAGAGTCACTCAAGGCAGAGTTTCATTGCTCCAATGTTAACATCAGGCAAGCAGAAATCCAACCCAGAGGCTGGCCACATCAGGTGCATTTGGGTGATCATTAAAGACGCAGGCTTCAGGCCTCTCTCTCATACTCTGTCCCTGAAGCAGCTCACCGATCCTTCTGACCACAGCTTCAAGCTTGCACCGAGGGATTCCACTCCAGGGCCTGTCTGGAAAAACACACAAGGGAAGAATAGGAGCCGTCTCGGGGCATCTGCTAAGGCTGGGGGTGGCCGGTGCCCACACAAACCCCAACTGAAAACACACCGGTAGCCTGATTCCAACAACTGACTTGTGGGCCAAATAGACTTGGAGGGAATCCAGAACCTTGCCTAGTGGCTGTGTGACCTTGGGTCAGTGGGACGGACTCTCAGAGCCAAGTTCCTTCTGTCAACATAGTATTAAAACGGCCCACGTTCAGGAGCTGCGGAGGTCATGCACTGTAAGGATGTGGCTGGTGGTTTTGTCTCCAGTGTGTGAACCCGGGACAGCTGTTGTGCACAGTTTGGGCGTGGAGGCCACAACACAGACAGCAGAAGAAGCTGTGTTTAACATCGTGTTGTGCACTGAGCTTTTGATGAGCTGAAGCCAGAGCCTGGGTCCCCTGCCCCTTGTTCTTGTCCCTCCACCTTGCAGTCTCATGCCAGTTTCCAGCTTATCCTGTGTCGAGGACCAGGCTTGGCAGGAATGACCAGGCCCACTGGCTAACCCCAAAAGGTTTGAGTAGATCTCTGTCAGGAGCTAAGACCCTTCCAACTAAGCTCTCCAATTTATTTTCTCTTTCCCCCAAAGAAGACTTTAAGCCAGCCAGGAAGGGAAAGAGGAAGAAAGGGAGAGGATAATATGGCTGGCACCCCTGAGAGCTTCCCTGCTCCTCCTGTGTCCTGGTCGTTCCAGACCCCAACCTCCTCAGAACGTCCTGGGGCCCATGGTGGCTGCACACAGGGAAACAGCCAGACATCCATGAGGCAGGAGGGGCGGCACTGAGGCTTCTCTTTCGGCTGACTCACAGCTGCTGGGTATGGAGGGGGATGCTGGCTTAGAAGAGACACAGAATAGGCCGGGTTTGGTGGCTCAGCCTGTAATCCCAGCACTTTGGGAGGCCAAGGCGAGTGGATTGCCTGAGCCCACAGGTTCTAGACCAGCCTGGGCAACTTGGCGAGACCTTGTCTTTACATCAAAAAATTAGCTGGGCGTGGTAGCACACGCCTACAGTTCCAGCTACTTGGAAGACTAAGGCGGAAGGATTGCCAGCAAGTCAATGCTCAGGTGGCTGTGAGTGTGATGGAGACTCCAACTCAAAAAAAAAAAGAGAGAGAGAAACATCAAAATGATGACTGAGTCCCCACCACACACGACCCAGGCTTCCTGTTTTCTCAGTACCAATCAGCTTTCTCAAAATTTTTTGAGCTAGGCTGGGCATGGTGGCTCACACCTGCACTCCCAACACTTTGGGAGGCAAAGGAGAGAGGATTGCCTGAACCCAGGGGGTTTGAGACCACCTTGAGCAACTTGGTGAGATGTCTTCTCTACAACAAAATCAAAATATTAGCCAGGTGTATTGGTGCACACCTGTAGTTCCAGCTACTTGGAAGGCTGAGGCCAAAGGATCACCAGAGCCCAACAGATAGAGGCTGCCATAGCCACGAGTGTGCCACTGAACTCCAGCCTGGGCAACAGAGTGATACTCTGACTCAAAAAAAAACATTTTTTTTCTTGAGCTGCGAAACTGTGGATTAACTACCTGCTGTCCTCAGCAACTCTTCATCCAAACAAAAAATTTTGCTGAGACCAAGGATGGTCCGAGGTGGTACAATCATTTAATGAGCTTATTATGAAAAAAAAAGTATGTCTTTATTACTTACATTTTTTTCCCCACACATTAGAGGATCATAGTTTATAAAAGTCTGTCCAGAGTGGTCAGGAACTGGTTCAGTGTATTTTTAAACTTCCTGGCAACACACCTCTGATGGGCGTTAACCTTTACAGGGGAGTTCCTGGACAGGAGGAGGAGGAGGAGGTGAGCCTTAGATTACAAGAAGAGAGAAAGCCACCTCTTGTCCCTGGGCTTTCTGGCTATGGGGCCTGGACTGCAGGTAGAGCACCCGGGCCCTTTGTTCCAGGGGTATGCCCGGGGAAAGACAAGTGCAGACACTTCTGCAATTCCCCATGAACTGGTATCTCAGCCTGGAAACCAGAGCACAGCTCTCTGTCAGAAGCCCTGAGCTTTTAGGGAGTCTTGCTCATCAGCACAACCTGGTCTCTACTGTACTGGGGAATTAAGGGACCAACCAGCTTTGTCACGTATGGAAAAGCACAGCCGAGGGGAGGGTGATGTTCCCAATCCCAAAACCAGCGTGATGGTGACTGTGGTGACCACCATGGAGGAAGGCCAAATGGTGTGGCCATTCAGTAGGGCACTGGTGGCAGAGGTCAGGGTGAGGAAGCACAGAAACACGGGGTCGTGGGCACCTCTGGGACCACACCCAGGGCACACTGGGAAGTAGAAGAGGGAAATTCAGAGGGGGCTCAGTCTCAGCGTTCAACCCTGGGGCAACTTGAGCCGTGGCAGTCTGGACATGGAATGAGAACATTACTCCATCTGGCAGTCACAGGTCACCGACCTCTCAGCTAAAAAAAGAAAAGCTTTTGGCCGGGTTCAGTGGCTCAGCCTGTCATGCCAGCACTTTGGGAGGCTGAGGCGAGTGGATTGCCTGAGCCCAGTGGATTGCCTGAGCCCGAGGGTTCAAGATCTGCCCAGGCAACACTCTCTACAATAAATCAAAAATTAGCTACGTGTGGTGGCACACACCTGTAGTTCTGGCCACATGGAGGCTGAGGCAGAAGGACTGCCGGAGCCCAGTAGGTTGAGGTTGCGGTGGCCGGAAGCATGCCCCTGCGCTCCAGTCTGGGTGACAGAGTGAGACTCCAACTCAAAAATTTTTTAAAAAAAGCTTTCTAGAAAGGAAAGCCAGCTGAAGGGGAAAAAAGATGCTGGCAGAGGCATAAGGTGGTTCAAGCACTAGATGAGGAGAGTATGTTGGGAGGTAGTTATGGCTTTTTCTAGCCCCTGCAAGTAAAATTATTACTCTACAATTATGCCAAAGTTATGCCTGTATAGGACGACAGAGACAATTCATTGAACTTCTGCTACGAACCAGATACATTGTCTATGCATCCTGTTATGTGACTTCTTTTAACATCGCCGGATGGGGTTTTGAGGCTCTGAGAGTCTAAAGCCTTCTCGGAGGGCACACAGCTAGAAATTGCTGGACCTACCCAACAGGCATCCGGTCAAGTTTCCTTTCCTCCTTTCTGGTTCAGAGTCTCTACAAACACGGTGGAAGCGTTTATTGATTCTTAGGTCTTGTTATAATTAGAACATGCTTGAGTCAGTGAGAGAGGAAAGCGAGAGAGGAACAGAGCCTGAGAGAGCCAGAGAAAGAGAGCAGGGGCCAGGCCTGTCTTTGCTGGAATGGTCATAGCTGCTTCTACAAGGGATTTTGTGGCTGCTCCAAGTTGTCACTGGTTTTGGCGTCTACTTCTCACAACAGCGTATCCAAACAAACCCAGCACTCCCAAGGCTGTGGTCACACCTGCACCAATCTTGGCCTTGTCCACCTGCAAAGTAAGCAACTTTCACTGAAAATTCACAGCAAACCCAGCCTAACTTCTTTCTCCCAAGAGGGGCACTCTCTCTCCCTTCTCTTTCCTGCCCTCCCTGAAAGCCTGGCCTGGCCCCTCCCTTCCCCTCCCAGCAGGTAGCTCAGTTTCCTCTCCCAGAGAGGCGTTTGCCTCTGTCCTCAGGGACTCTATTTTTGGGGTGGGTGTGTCCATTTCTTAGTGTTGGGCTTGTCTTGGCTATTCCTGAGAATGGGCCAGTGGAATTCTTTGGAGAGAGCTTCCAGGGTGAGGACATTTCTTCCTGATTTGGGGAGTGGGCAGGGAAGAGGGTTTGTGACGGTATCCTGGGGTCAGAGCTGGACTGGGGACTGAGAGGCACCTCAAACATCACACCCCACGCCAAACATTGCCCAAAGCTGCCCTCCTGCCATGTTTCCCATCTCATCAATGGTCTCCACCCATCCAATCACCCAGGCCAGGGGCCCTGAAGGTGCTACAGTGTAGCTGTAATGGGCAGAGGCTCTAGAAAGGGACAGCTGGGGTTTGAATTCTGGCTCTCTGCCACTTCCTGGCTGTGTGTTTTGGAAGACTGTGAAGGGGGAAGGGGCAGAGTTGTGCCCAGATCTGACACCCACATGTTCCCAAGCTCTTCTGGAGGCCCACAGACCTGGGCTTCCTTGCCCTGGTGTCCTTTGGGAATCCAGGGTGCCTGCCACAGTCCAAGTTTGGGCAGACCCTCCTGACGAACCACGGGGATTCAGGAGCTGTCTTCAGGATGGGTCTCTGAGGGGAAGGATCCCATCAGAGAGGACCTCCATCCACTCCCTGCCATCCACTCCCTGCTCTGTAATGGGAAACTGAGGCCTGCAGGGGAAGTGCCTTCTCCAGTGACCCCCTGGGGATTAGAAGCAGACCTGGGATTTGAGCTCAGACAGCCTGACTTTCAGCCCCTGGGTCTCTGAGAGGGTGTCACTGCACACTTCACAAGGAATCTCCCCTCTGGCTGTCCAGCCCAGTCAGCCCCTCTCTAAGCTGACCTCCCCAGGGGAGGCTGTCAGTCAGAGAGGGCCTTACCTGCTTGGAGCGAGGTTTGCCATATCTCAGATCGGTCACAAAGTGCTCACAGTTCCTCCTCACAAGATTATATTTTAGCTTCTCCCCAACCTGACTCTTTGCAGCCTCAATGATCACCTCCACACGCCGTGGTATGTACTCTCGGTCCAAGCTGTTGTTGATCCGGTAGTTACAATTCCCCACCACGTCCTCCAGGCGCTCCCATTTCACTTCCGCCATGTCGGTCAGGACCGAGAAGATGCTGGAGGAGCCAGCCCCGGGGTACTCATCTGCAAACAGTGACACTATCACTGGGAGCCCCTGGGAAGGGCGAGGTGGGGAGAGAAGGCCTTAACCCAGAAAGAAGGACGGAAGGAACGCACCACATAGCTGCTCGTGCAGATCTTTCACAAATGATTGGAGTCATAGATTTTGTTCTTTTTATCTAATAAAGTGTAAATGTTTGTTCAATCAGGGAATGTCATGATTGTCCATGGCTGCCACTGTTTCCCACTCTGCGCATGTCCATTATTTATGTGACCATTCCCCCGTGATTGGTCACTTAAGCATTTGAAAAGTTTTCACTGCCATGCATGGTAGCTCATGCTTGTAATCCCAGCACTTTGGAAGGCCAAAGTGAGACAACTGTCTGAGCCCAGGAGTTTGAGACCCGACTGGGTAACATGGCAAGACCTCACCTCTACAATAAATGTTTTAAAAAATAGCTGGGCATGATGGCACGTGCCTGCTAATTGGGTGGTTGAGGCAAAAGGATCGCCTGAGCCCAGGAGGTTGAGGCTGCAGTGAGCCATGATCAGGCCACTGCACTCCAGCCCGGGCGACAGAATGAGACTCTGACTAAAAGAAAAAGAAAAAAGTTTTGACTATGCTAAACAATGCCTGTAAAGCATATTTGTTATTTGTTCATCTTTGGACTCTTGTGTGTTTCAGAAAGAAATGTGATTTGTTTTAGTACCTACTGTGTTTCAGACACTATGCTGTGTGGTTTTTATATATTACCTACTTTAATCTAATCTCCTTTTCTCTTTTTTTTTTTTTAGTCGGAGTCTCAATATCTGATGTTTTCAGTTATTTGCTTATTGACACTGATTTTGAAAATCACACATTCAACAGTTCTCACTTGGAGGAGCCAGATGGATCACGTAGCCGTCTCCCACATAGATGGCCCAGTGCTGATAGCCAATGCGGAAAATCTCAATCAGGTCTCCAGGCTGGGGCTCCTGGCGGGACTGTAATAGAAAAAACAGAGACAGTGCAGATGGACTTCTAGGCAACCTCAGAGACCCTGGGAGCTGCAGCTGGTCTGGGTCCTCTGGCTGATGACCATCACCTGGTGAGAATCTGGGGAGGATGCTGGACAATGATGTCATGAAATGGGAGCGAGGAGGTGCATCTGGGAGAGCATGTGGTGTGTGTGCAGGTGTGTGTACGCATACCGAGATGCAGGGGTGCATACAGAAGTGCATTGCACATGTGCTGCTGAGCAGGCTGACACAAGAGCTCACATGGACCAGCATCTTTGCTGAGGCTGGGAGCAATCTTAGGGAGGTGAGTTTTGAGCTCACTGCCCTGTTCAGACGAACCCTTGGGTCCTCATCCCACCTTCTACCCTGTGTTTGTCCGGGGGGACACCAGAGGCACCTCCTCCTCAGACCCTGTCCCCACCTAGCCTCGGAACCCCCATCCCTTGCAGACGAAGACCTGGAAGATGGGAACTGACAGCATCCTGTTGTGACCTGAGCCTGGGAGAGGGGTCTTGTGGAGCCCCCGGTTCCAGCCCTGAGGGATGCTGCACTCACAGAATAGGCCTCTGCTGGGCACTTGTCCTGTGATAACTGTACTCTCTCAAGAGCCCCAGGGGAAGGCACAATCATCCCATTACACCAGTGGGGAAACTGAGGATCAGAGAAGTGTAGAGGCTTTTCTGAGAACCCTCAGCCGGAAAGAGGCCCAGCTGGCTCTTCCATGCCCAGGGCCTCTTCTTGGTTCCCAACTCCCCCAAACTTCCTCCCTTCCTCACTTCCTTCCTACTTCTCTGTGTCCCACCTCAGGACATCGCAGCCTCACGACGGGAAAATTTTCTAGGTTCTGCCCTTTTTGTGATTGTCCTCAGTGGATAACAAACCTCATCCACCCTCATCCCAGGCTGTCCTGGCAGAGACCAGGACAACTCACCTTTGCCCTCTTCCTCATGTCAATATCCAATCCTCAAACCAATCATTGTGGACTCCAGAAGCTTCTCCTGAGTCCTGTACTCCTTAGTTTCTGGTCCACTGACTTGGCAGCACTTCCCAGTCTCCATGGCCCCACAGTCCCCTGTCGGGCCCCCAATCCTGTCCCTGCCATCCCACATCTAGCTCCCAGGACTCCTGGTGGCCTCCCCAGACACATCTGGCCATGGCCTTCCTCTGGCCTCGGAGCACAGGACACACACCGCAGGCAGCTCCCAAGCCCCTCCTGACCCCTCTGACCCCACTTCCTCACCCTCCTTGTCCTCCCTGGGCTCTGCCCTCACAGCCTGACTGAGGGACTTTCTCCCCCTCCCCCCACCGCAGCCCTGCTTTGGCCTCTGCCACTCTGCATTGCCGAGTCTCTGCCCCCACATGTCCTCACACCCACTCTTCCTCTTCCTCAATCTCCTCAGATACCCTTCCTGGGAGAGGCTGCCCCAATGGCCCCAGTCTGGTCCTCTCTGGGCCCTGGGTCCCCCTGGACCTCCCCCTCTCCCTGAGTGGATCAGGATGTGCTACAATTTCCTGTCCAGTCTGTGTCCCCCTCTGGGCTCTGAGCTCCATGCAGACAGGATCTGTGTGCCCCTCCCTCCCTCCCTCCCTGAATCTCCAGGATCCAGCCAAGGGCTGGCATGGAATGGGGCAAAGGAAACAATGAAAAGACTTTGCCCATTTTCTCTTCTGAAAATGCAGCAAGGCACCATAGGGCCCAGACACAGGCTCTGTCTAGGGATAAGGTGGGAGTGGGGAGGTGCTGGCCAAAGGGGATTGGGAGAATTTTAACTGTGATACTAAATGTCTGAAACCAAGATCAAGGCACAATCGGCATCAGCTAGTGGCCAATGAAATGTGAGTTTTGAGCCGGGCACAGTGGCTCACGCCTGTAATCCCTGCATTTTGGGAATCTGAGGCGAGAAGATTTCCAGAACCCAGGGTTTGGAAACCAGTCTGGGCAACTTGGCAAGACCTTGTCTCTACAGTAAATCAAAACATTAGACAGGCATGGTGGCACATGCCTGTAGTGCCAGCTACTAGGAAGGAAGGCTGAGGTGGAAGGTCTGCCTGAGCCTGAGTCCAGGGGTTTGAGGCTGGGGTAGGTGTGATGACACCACTGCCCTCCACCCTGAGTGACAGTGAGACTCCAACTCCAAAAAATAAAGGAAATGTGAGCTTTGCCTAAAGAAGGAAATGACTTCCAGGTGCCAGAGCCCTGATTTGTTGTAGCAGCAACAAAGCCCTCCAGTGAATCTGCAGGCAACAAAGGAGACTGCCCTCTGGAATGTCTAGACTCCTTCCCGGAATACGCTCATTTCTAGTAACAGCCCAAGGCCAGCCAGCTAGGAGCCCAGCTGGTTCTCTCTGGAACATTTGACAATCTGGTTGATGCCAGAGGAGATTTCAGAGTTCAGAACACTGAAATTAGAATGCACTTTATAAGGCAGGACCCACGGAGGGAACAGAAGAAAGAGCTATTTGGGATGAGATGGGACGGAGCCCTGCCCAGCAGCAGAAGCAGACAGCCTGGGAATTTGCTTCCAGCCCACAACCCTGGGACTCCTGTCTGCTCTCACTCTGGCTTCTCCCAGGGCACAGGCAGGTACAGCTCCCACAACCCTAAAGTCTTCCTCCCACATGGAGGTCCCGGCCTCCCCCCACTGTGCCAGACCCAGGAAGGAGGCCGACTCTACCTGGAGACCTCCTGGTCCGGCAGGACTGACGGACTTCAAGAAAACAAATGCAGTTTCCCACAAAAGCCTCCAAAGACAAGCTCTGGAGTTAAGTGTGCCCATGGACAGGAACCCAGACTAAGGTCTTTACAGAAGGGCACTGACCACCCGCTCTACGGTCAGTGCTGAAAAGTTTCAGGGACTTACCGAAGACATCTTGAAGCCAAGGCAGGGTCTGGTGCTGGGCTCTTGCTGTTGCAAGCAGTTTTTATACCAAAGTTGAGAATTTTACTTTCAGTTTCATTCTGAAACTGGAAATTACCTAAAAGAGAATATTTTTAGAAAAGAGGGACGACTTTTAAAAATCTGGATTATGTCTCTGAATGGGAAGGCAAATGATTTCCCATTTCCCATTCCACGTGGGATTGTTGGTTCTTTAAAGCCACCTCAGAAGCAGCCATAGCACAGGGGACCCCTGGATTTCTGCCACTGCTTGAGAAGCAAAGGTCTCTCCTAACCCTGGGCAGCTGTTCTTACCTGAGGAAGGGGAGGCATTTAAAGGCAGGGAGGCAGCCCTCTGGGGTCTCTCCCAATCTGGGAGTTTTTCTGTCCTCTCAATAAATCCTGCTTTCTGAAAACAACAACAACAAAAAAAAAACAGAGGGGTGTCAAACCCCAGAACACCCCATAGGACATTGTCCTGTGTGGACACCCAGAAGATGTTGGTCCAGAAGTCATGTGGCAGGCCAGAAGGGTGCTTCACCCTATGCCCTGGAGATGGTGGGTAGTTTAGATTACGTGGGGCCCAGGAGTTCATGGCCCGGTTAGGATGCACTTTGTTGCAAGAAGCAGAACTAAACAAAAAGGGGCAACCACAGCCTGCACGTTCATTGTTTCGGTATCAAAAAGACAGGAAGCAAAATTTAAAAGTAGGCAACGAGCACATAAGATACACTCACCTGCTTACAATAATCCACCCTAGTAAAGAAGTTCATTATAAGGATACAAAGAAAATGGAACAGTTGGCCGGGCTTGGTGGCTCAACCTGTCATCCTAGCACTTTGGGAGGCCAAGGCGAGTGGACTGCCTAAGCCCACAGGTTTGGGACCAGCCTGGGCAATTTGGCAAGACCTCGTCTCTATAATAAAAAAATTAAAAATTAGCCAGGCGTTCTGGCTACTTGGATGGATCACCAGATCCCAGTAGGTTGACACTGGGGTAGCTGTGAGCATGCCAGTGCACTCCAGCCTGGGCTACGGAGTGAGACGCCAAATCAAAAAAAAAAAAAAGAAAAGAAAGAAATGGAACAGTTCTCACTATCCCAGAACTTCCCCGTAAGATGCCCATAGGATCTCCCTGACAGGATCTGGGCAGTTGGCTTGCTAGAAGAGAAAGTGGCAGGTCTGCAGAGGAGGGCAGAGCCCTTGTCAGAGCAACTCATGCCTGGGGGCATCAGGAAGGGCGTCGCCTCTCCCTTCAGCCCTCACTGGCCCCAGGTCCCTTTGGCCAGACAGGGCCTCTGGCACATTGGTTCAAGGTTCCTCTGGCTTTGACCCCAGGACTGGTACTGCCTGTTCTCCTGTTCTGCTTCCAGGTGAGCTTCTTTAGCAAAAGGAGTATCAGAGTAACTAGCCATTCACCTCTCTGTATTAAGGTCAGGCTCAAAACTGAAAAAGTCCAAAGAAGAAAGTAAACTGCATGGCCTTGACCTTACTAGCATCACATTGGGCAATTGCCTCCCTTTCGCTAATCTTTAAGAGTGAGGAGGGCTTTCAGTCTGAGAGCCTGTGACCCTGTAGGCCTGAAACTATAGAAGGGGTGGGGACCCTGGGTCTCGCTGGCCTGGCTGGAGCCACCTCTTTCACAGGACTCCGGGTTCTGAGGTCCCTTGTTTGGTTCAAAGCTGCTAGATGGATTCTGCAGCCCAGGCTGCGCCTCTGCCCTCAGCTGCCCTTGCTTGCCTCGGCATCCAGAATGAGACTCCTGTCATGCCCTTCGTGCCTTCGTTCTCCCTCAAGGGCTCTGCTGTCGGGTTTGATCTGCACCTGGCAGTTTCTGGCATTGATTCACCCTGAAACATGTTCGGTTCAGTCTGGGATTTATTCCACATCTTTGCCCCGTGGGTGTTTCCAGGATCCTTCCACCTGCAAACCAGTGATGGATGAGGGCGTCAGCTCTGGAGTCAACTTAGAGAGCAGAGAGGACACAGTGGCTCAAGGAAGAGGCGGCGCTGGTCATGGAGGTAGCGCTGCTCTCCAGGTGAGTGAGTGCAAGGGGTCCAACACAGGCCTAACTCCAAGATGGCTCCCTCATGCAGTGCCTAGCACACAGAGGGACTCACCTGTATTATTATTGTTGTTATTTGACTCAGGGTCTCACAGTTGCACAATTGTGGCTCGCTGCAAGCTTGACCTCCTGTACTTGGGGATCCTAACACCTCAGCTTCCAAAGTAGCTGGGACTACAGGCATACACCACCATACCTGGCTAATTCATTGATTTTTTTTTTTTTTGTAGAGACAGGTCTCACTATATTGCCCAGGGTGGTCTCAAACTCCTGGGCTCGAGTCATCCTCTTGCCTTGACCTCCCAAAGTGCTAGAATTACAGGCAGGAGCCAACATGTCTGGCCTTGTTTATTACGTCTTTCAGGGGTCCTGGGTATAGCCCTATTGAACAAGAAAGTCCATCTTTGGAAGCCAGGTGGCTCCCTCCTTATCTTTCTTTATGAACCTTTGCACCTAGCTCCAGGTGTTTATTCAGGCCCAGCCCAACTCTGGCCAGTAAACTGAAGTGACCTGAAAGCCTTCAGAGCTGATGCAGTGTCTTTTCTTTTTTTAAGGATGAAAACACAAATTACCCTTTATTATGAAAATGGAAATGAGGCTGGGCTCGGTGGTCCGGCCTGTAATCTCAACACTTTGGGAGGCTGAGGCAAGTGGATTGCTTGAGCCCATGAGCTCTAGACCAGCCTGGGCAACTTGGCGAGACCTCATCTCTACAATAAATTTAAAAAATAATAATAATCTGGTGTGGTACTACCCACCTGTAGTTTCACTGTAGTTCCAACTACTTGGAAGGCTGAGGTGGAGGGATTGCCGGAGCCCGGTAGGTTTACACTGAGGTGGCCATGAGTGTGCCACTGCACTCCAGCCAGGGCAACAGAGTGAGACTCCATCTCAAAAAAAAAGGGTGGGGGGAAATGAATGTTAATACAGAAAATTAAGATGGTAGTTTTCTGCCCATTTATTGCTCAAAGGGATATCTCTATTTTATGAAATCAGCATGTTACACTTTAAGAGATGACATGTTGCAGCTTTTTTACCACAATTTAAAAATAAAATTTAAAAATGAAATGGGGCTGTGTGTGGTGGCTCATGGCTGCAATCCCAGCACTTTGTGAAGCCAAGGTAGGAGGATTGCTCGAGGCCAGGAATTTGAGACCAACCTGGGCAACATACTGAGATCTCATCTCTATTTATTAAAAAAAAAAAAAAGAGCCAGGTGTGGTAGATCATGCCTGTAATCCAGCACTTTGGGAGGCCAAAGTGAGAGGATTGCCTGAGCCTTCCCTAGAAGTTCAAGATCAGCCTGGGCAACTTGGTGAGACCTCATATCTACAATAAATAAAATTAATTAGGCAGGCACGGTGGTGTACACCTGTAGTCCCAGCTACTTGGAAGCTGAGGTGGAAGGATGGCCTGAGCCCAGCAGGTGTGGGCTGCAATAGTCATAATCATGCCACTTCACTCTAGCCTGGGCATCAAAGTGAGACATTTCCAAAACAAAAAACAAAAAAAGGAAAAGGTTATCAAGGAGATACAGGTCAGAGGATCAAAGAGGGCTCACACATGATTAAAAAGAGCCCCAGCCAGGTTCGGTGGCTCAGCCTGTCATCCTAGCACTTTGGGAGGCTGAGGAGTATAGATTGCCTGAACCCGTGGGTTTGAGACAAGCCTGGGCAAGTTGGCAAGACCTCGTCTCTACAATAAATCAAAAAATTAGCTGGGCGTGGTGTCGAGTGCCTTTAGTTCCAACTACTTGGAAGGCTGAGGCGGAAGGATCGCCGGAGCCCAGGGCAGTGAGTGTGCCACTGCATTCCAGCCTGGGCGATGGAGAGAGACTCAAAAAAGAAAAGGAGCCCCAAGGACGGCTGCATCACAATCTCTCATTCATGTTCCAAGGGTGCCTCTCTTTGGATAAACTTGAACACCTTCTCAGACAACCCGAGCAGCATTTTCAGCAAAATGGCTCTTACATGACCACTATGACCGTTCCCAGAATCATCTTCTATAGACCCTGTGGAGCAAAGACCACCACAGCAGGTGCTCAGTCGGAGGATACACTGTGGGAAATGCCCTCTGGCTGTTTTGGGCAACAGTTTTCCCCTCCAAGGGCTGCTCTCTCCTTTGCCTCCTCCTTCCTCTCCTCCAGCCTGGCTGCTGCTGCTTCCAGGTGTCTTGGTAGTCAGGATGGACTCTCAAGAAGTGTCATCCCAGAGGGTCCATGGGGTCACTCTGAAGCCACTGTATTTACAGCTGTTAAGGCACTCAAGCAGGATGTGCCCTGGTAGGGCAGTCAGGCTGAAAGGGTAAACTGAGGCAAGGTGGGCCTGTACTGCAGGAGTAATGCAAGAGTGCAACAAAGAAGGAAGTAGAAAGAAGGATAGTTTATTATTCACTTTTCACAGATGGAAAGGGAGCCAGCACTCAGGTCTGTGTGACCTCGAAGGACTGAGAAGGGGGTATATTTAAGGGCCCTTGGCACAAAAGGGATTTGGGTCCGTAGGGGTCTGAGCCAAAAGGAAGGCCCAGGGCTGCATTCTTTGATACATAAGTCTTGGATCTTGACATCGCCAGGTACCAGTATCTCACGACCTCACGTGGTGGGCTGGTCAACATGGACAGCTGGTATTGATACAAATGCCTGGAAGAAAGATTGTTAGGAGGACTGGACATACTTAATGGGGTTTGAGTAATCGCTGATTTTTTTTTTTTTTTAGTGAGAAAGCAGGATTTATTAATTAAGAAGACTGAAAAGCTCCCAAGCCAGAGAGGGCCCAAGAGAGAGTTGCCTATCACTGATTTTTAAGGCCCGACCCTGGGAAACTGGTTCTGGGAACCAGTTTTGGGAAAAGTGATTTTTCTTGTGACTTTTCTAATCATTAGATTATAAAGTCAGAGGGAGGTGGAAGCCATGCAAGCTGCTTAGCAAAGCGAGTCAGTGGCAAAATTTAAGGGAAATGGCAACACTAGGGCAAAATGGCTGTACCAAAACACAAATCTCTTCTAAAGTTCCTGGGGTGCCTCCCTTCACAGGCCAACAGGGGCCTCTGCTGGGAGCCAGCCTTAGAGGCCTTCACAGTGACAGGGTCCAGAAGGCCAAAGACCCCAGGTTGCAAGGCAACTCTGGGCAGCTGTTGTTCCTGCTTCTTCTACCTCCACTCTCTCTCGCCACTGGAAACCTGGAAGTTGGAAGATGTAAAGAATTCTACATGGGAGAAATAATTATTACCAAATGGTAGTGTTTAGTAAAGGAAGGATTTATTTTATTAAAAATATACTCTTCATTAGAGCACCCTTGACCTTACTTCCCTTTGTTAAAGAGGCTTGTAATTTTAGTTAGGGATTGTGACTAAGGTAAATTGGGGGGGGGGGGCTTTTGTTTTACAAACGTTGAAGCCCATTCTCCCTGACAAGGAATAATTGACACAGATTGTAGATACCAGGTGTGACATTATAGAAAGCAAGTCAGGCCAGCTTGCGATTAAGAAACCTTGAGAATGTTGCTTTACCCTGGTTAATTGCAAATTGCTGTGTCACAGGTGTAACTTACAAAACAGGATGAAGATACATTGCCTGTCCAGTCCAATGAATTGAAACTGATTGTCTTGAAAATGAAAAACATGTTTTCGGCTCAAGCCAAAATCTAGGGTATAAAAGGAGTTGAAAAAGACAATAAATCGGCATCTGTCCTGCTTGCAACGGAGTCAGTGTCTAAGTTTTTCTCTCTTTTGCTGACTCGTCTCTCCTTCAGGAAACCCTGATCTGCTGGAGCTGGCCTCCGGCAGGCCTCAATGTCACCTCCCACTGTGGGGCCTCTGCCCTGGGCCTCCCGACCAAGTCCGCATAATTCAGTTCCATCCTTGGCTTTACAAGTGTGGGCAGTGTCTGGACATGTTCTCTTCTAGAAAGTGCAACAGCTGGGCCACCCCTGCTGTCTCTGTCGGTGCTGTCAGGCTCAGCGGTCAGTTTGAACTCAAGGTGCTGGCAGTAGTTTGGAAAGACAACAGGGGGAGTTCTCCTTGAAGAAGGTGTTCAGAAAACCACAGATTGTTAATGTCCTTCCTGCTCCCCCTTCCCTTCCTGCCAGGTGGCTGGTGTTTCCCTCACCCCCATTTCATTGTTACAAAAATCAATGTGTCCCCACATTGTTTTTCAACCCTTCCTTGCGTTTGGATGGAAGGGTTGTATGCAAGAGACACGAAAGCATTTTCACCGAGAAATGTCTTTATATAACTCAGCCAGAAAGACACATCAACTTAGGAGCTGGGTCCGAAAAACTCCTAAATCTCCAAAAATGTCAGAATGGGTGTTAGGGTATAGACAGTGTGAGGGTAGATGGATAGAGGAGAGGGGAAAGGCACAGGGAGATGCAGCACCGCAGGAGCCGGAGGTGCCACGCTGGAAACCCAAAGATAGAGTAAATACAAATAACTACAACACACAGAGGTGACAGAAGATAAGATTTATTTAACAAAGCTTCACCCTCCACAGACAGGAAGGGGGCCTACACTGTAGGTGAGTGTGGTATCATAGCCTCTCAAAGTCCTGGTTTAAATCCTTTCCTAGGAGATGTTGCAATCAGGTAGAAGGTGACTGCTGTGACTTCCATATCGACCACCTGCGGATGTCTTGGAGAACCTGTCCGCCCACATTATCATAGCCCCTGGAGAAGTGTGTGACAAGGGTACTAACTCTCCTGCACCTTCCTGAACAACTTTCCTTAGAGCTAGGGGAGGGTGCACTTCCCCTTATCTCCTAGGCATTCCCAGTGGGTAGCTTCGGGGGACCCTTGGCTTCCCTATAGATAGCACCCAATACTGGAAGATCAAATCCCCACCTGCTCTCCTTCTGGGCGGTCACAACTTTTGTAATTACAAGTTTCATGACTTTTACAATGCTTGCCCAAAGCATGATGTCCTAGGCCTTGTAAATTCCCTTTACTCTAGGCAAGCTTGATTGCCACTCTGAGATACCTCTGATACCTGGAAGTCTTTCTGAAAAGACAAAGTCGGCAAAGTTAATTTTCCTTCAAGTGTACATTTCTCCAAAAGCATAGCTTCTACTTTCTCATCCTTGTATTAAGATTTAGGAAGAAGAGTAAAGAAAAATGCATTTCCCACTCTCAGCCTGTACTTTCAAGGGGTTTACACAGACTCACTCCTTTTGCCCCGATCATTTATCCAGTGAGAAGTTTGGGGGAAAAAATCAATCTCTTTTTGAGAACAGATGCATTTAGGGAACAATGTCTTACTCAGGTGTGTGTACCAGGAGAAATGTATGGGAAGCACAATCAGTTCACCCATTCATTGCTGCAAAACAAAACTATTGTGGAAAGGCAGACAAAAATCAGTCAACAGCAGAGAGATGCTTTTGAGGTGGGGGATGGGGACCAAGAAGAAAAGGGGTGGGTGGCGAGGTCACAGTCCCTGTGATGTGCTCTCCCCCACCTTGCAGTTTTGAGCAGGGATCATCAGTTAGGAAGGCAATCAGTGGGGATCCCGAAAAAACTGGAATTATCTTTTGGATGGTGGGTCCATTGTAGTGTAGGCTTACCCCACTAGATAGTGTTCTAGGAACCCACTAGCATCAGTGTACCAGATAGTAGTGATGTGAGAGCCTGCGTTCACCTTCAGTGATTTTTTTGTGGAGATTTTTTTAAACATGTTTTCCCATTTCATGATGGGTGATCTACGAGCACACCTGTCCACACCGCACTGAGTGTTCAGCAGTTTTTGACCAAAAACACCAATGGCCCCTGTGTCCCACTCTTCCTATTGACCCTATCTTGTCCCGAGCAATGTTTAATTTATTTCCCCAGATGAAAAAAGTCCTCAAAAGGTTAAATAAAAAACAGCAGAATCACTAAAAGGCATCAAAATGGACAAGTTCAAAAACTGTTTAGAATAGAGAAAAAAGTCAGGCTTGGTGGCTCAGCCTGTAATCCCGCGCCTTTGGGAGGCTGAGGTGAGCGGAT